ATCCCAATTTCTTCCGTCACGACGTGACGTCTCCGTTCCCTCCTTCAGGGAACGAGGGTTACATACGTAACCGAGACGATTTTCTATGTCAGGCTTTACGGAGTTAAACTGGAGTGTGTGTGGTTGTGTGTGTGCGTGTTTCAGCCCTGTCCAGACGTCTACTGGTTTCCAGCGTTCTCTGAGAGAATGTGTGATGAGCTTGTGGAGACCATGGAGGATTTCGGTGGATGGTCTGGAGGAAGACACAACGTTAGTGACCTCAGCGCGTGTGTGTCTGTGTGTGTCTGTTTGTGTCTGTGTGTGTCTGTGTGTCTGTGTGTCTGTCTGTCTTTGTCTGCGTGTCTGCGTGTCTGCGTGTCTGCGTGTCTGTGTGTCTGCGTGTCCGTGTCCGTGTCCGTGTCCATGTCCGTGTGTGTGTCTGTCTGTGTCTGTGTGTGTCTGTGTCTCTGTGTGTCTGTGTCTCTGTGTGTCTGTGTGTCTGTCTGTCTTTGTCTGCGTGTCTGTGTGTCTGCGTGTCCGTGTCCGTGTCCGTGTCCGTGTGTGTGTCTGTCTGTGTCTGTGTGTGTGTGTAAAGCCGTAGCTCATGTGTGTTTACAGTTTAACAGATATTCACATAGACAACAGCTGTTTTACATTATAATGATATGAAATGCAGCCTTGGTGAGCAGAAAATATATTTTAAATATTAAATCCTATTAATCCCAAACTATTGAGTACTAATGTAGTATTAAAATAATTGAGCGGCGTGTGTGTGTGTGTGTGTCTGCCTCTGTGTGTGTGTGTGTGTGTGTGTGTGTGTGTGTGTGTGTGTGTGTGTGTGTGTGTGTGTGTTACAGGCTCAGGCTGTGATGAATTTTGTGGTTCGTTATCGTCCTGACGAGCAGCCGTCGCTCCGTCCGCATCACGATTCCTCCACATTCACCATTAACATCGCGCTCAACAGAAAAAACATTGATTATGAGGTAAATAGACTTTCCGTTGTGTTATTTAGAGTGTTTCTACCCATAAACACATAATACACTCGTCTCTGTGTGTGTGTGTGTGTGTGAGAGTGTAAAAAGTGTGTTGGAAACACTGTTGGAAACACAAATTGAGGACCAATTTGCACCTTATTGATGACCCGTGGCGTTAATATAGGCTACAGCATCTGTGCCAGCGCGTGATGTAATAAACTGCAGCTCGTTAATAAACTTTTTATTTAAATTTTTTTTTTTAATCCATTTTATACAATCCGCCTTCATTTAGCAAGTGCACTCACGCATAACAATTTTTCAAGTTCAACACTTTTTGTTCCATTCAGTTGTGGATGCTGCTGATTCACCTAGACCCGCGCGTGCGTGTGTGTGTGTGTGCGCGTGCGTGTGTGTGTGTGTGTATCTGTCTCTGTGTGTGTGTGTCTGTGTGTGAGAGTGTGAGAGTGTGTGTGTGTGCGCGCGTGCGTGTGTGTGTGTGTGCGCGTGCGTGTGTGTGTGTGTATCTCTCTGTGTGTGTGTGTGTGTGTCTGTGTGTTTGTGTTTGTGTTTGTCTGTGTCTGTGTGTGTTTGTCTGTGTGTGTGTTTTTTTCTGTGTGTGTGTGTGTCTCTCTGTGTGTGTGTGTCTCTGTCTGTGTGTGTGTGTCTCTGTCTCTGTGTGTGTGTGTCTCTCTGTGTGTGTTTTTGTCTCTGTGTGTGTCTCTGTATGTGCGTGTATGTGTCTCTGTCTCTGTGTGTGTGTGTGTGTGTGTCTGTGTCTCTGTCTCTGTCTCTGTCTCTGTCTCTCTGTGTGTGTATGTGTCTCTTTCTCTGTGTGTGTGTGTGTGTCTCTGTCTCTGTGTGTGTGTCTCTCTCTGTCTGTGTGTGTGTGTTTGTCTCTGTCTGTGTGTGTCTCTGTATGTATGTGTGTGTGTGTGTGTGTCACTGTCTCTGTGTGTGCGTGTATGTGTCTCTGTCTCTCTGTGTGTGTGTATGTGTGTGTGTGTGTGTCTCTATCTCTGTGTGTGTGTGTCTCTGTGTGTGTGTGTGTATCTGACTGTGTGTGTGTGTCTCTGTCTCTCTGTGTGTGTGTGTGTGTGTGTGTGTGTCTCTATCTCTGTGTGTGTGTGTCTCTGTGTGTGTGTGTGTATCTGTGTGTGTGTGTGTGTCTCTGTCTCTGTGTGTGTGTGTGTGTTCTCTGTATGTGTGTGTGTGTTTGTCTCTGTCTGTGTGTGTCTCTGTATGTGTGTGTGTGTGTGTGTGTCACTGTCTCTGTGTGTGTGTGTGTGTGTGCGTGCGTTTTTGTGACAAATGACAAATTTGTAACCAAAATTGAGCTAAACCTGACAAAATCTCCAAAAACCTTCTTTTGGGGACGTCCTCATTTGTAAAACTGGTATAAAAATAAAGCAAACAAAGTTTTTTTAAATTGTAAAAATGCAGAAAGTTTCCTGTAAGGGGTAGGGTTAGGTGTAGGGTTTGTGTAGGGCGATAGAAAATACAGTTTGCACAGTATGAAAACCATTACGCCTATAGAATGTCCACATTTAGATAGCTAAGTAAATGTGTGTGTGTGTGTGTGTGTGTGTGTGTGTGTGTGTGTATCAGGGCGGAGGCTGTCGGTTCCTGCGTTACGACTGTACGGTCGAGTCTCCCAGGAAGGGCTGGTCGTTCATGCATCCGGGCCGTCTGACACACTATCACGAGGGGCTTCCCGTCACTCGAGGAACACGATACATCATGGTGTCGTTCGTTGACCCTTGAAGCTCACGTGAACTCTGTCTGTCTGTCTGTGTGTGTGTTTGTTTCTCTGTAAATTAACAGACGAGATGTTACATATGAGCGGATCGGAAGAGTATTTTTACTTGACTTCATAGAATAATTGAATCACAGATGTTTTTTAAAGAGCTTTAGTCCTCAATTAGCTTTTGTACTTGAGCTTTGTACAAACCGCTTTAAGTTATTTGTTGCCTTTTGGAAATAAATATTGGAAACGGAAGCTGGTGTCATTCACTCTATTATTACTTTAAGTTCTAAAAGTAGATTCTTTATCATTTTTCCAGAATCATATGTAATTTAAAGCACAAATTGAGCAGTTAAATTATCATATGATAGCAATTGAATGAAATCACATTAATATGATGTGCATGATCAGTGAAGTTTAAATTTATCACTGCAGACACAAATAATGAACAATGTTGAATCACACAAAACTTATTTCCTCTTGTCATGAAATGTTAATGAGGTTTAGTGACTTTTCCCTCCTTAGGTAAACAGTGCTGCTTTTGCAAGGTAGGAAAACTCGTCAGATTTAATCGGGAATCCTTATGAAACTATTGACTGAGTGTCAGTTTTCACCTGACATTTGGAGCCAAATTACAGGAGGGTAAAAATGACTTTCTAATGCTCTTCTTGCGAAGGCCGGTGAGGAGACCATTACAATAGTCCACCCTGCTGGTGATAAAGGCATGAACAAGCTTCTCCAAGTCTTGACTGGAAACAAAACCTCTAATTCTTGCAATGTTTTTGAGATGATAGTATGCTGATTTAGTTACTGCTTTGACATGACTACTGAAACTAAGGTCTGTCTCCAGAATCACACCAAGATTCCTGACTTGATTTTTAGTTGTTAGACCCCTAGAGTCAAGGTATGCATTCACCTTGAGAACTTCATCTTTGTTTCCAAATGCAATGACTTCAGTTTTCTCCTTGTTTAACTGAAGAAAGTTCTGGCACATCCAACTGTTAATTCCATCAATGCATTGGCAGAGGGAGTCAATGGAGCTGTAGTCATTTGGAGATAAGGCTAAGTACATCTGGGTGTCATCAGCATAGCTGTGAAAGGCAATTTGTTTCTTTTTCAATATTTGACTTCGTAGGAGCATATACAGGCTAAACAAGAGCGGTGGAAGGATTGAGCCTTGTGGGACTCCGCATGTCACAGGTTAGTTGTTCTTCATTGGCGTCACACCAGACTGTTAGTCACTTAATGACATTTATGAGTAGTGATGAGTTTAATCAGAAGAGAGGGGCAGAGTTATTGACGTGTGTGCGTATGTGTATGTGTGTTTGTGTCATTTTTATGTTCTCCATCACAGACACACACACACACTCGCTCCAGTGATGGCATTGTCGTTTCTCCGGTGGATCTTTGGGCTCCTGATGCTCCTGGTCGTTTCTCACAGTGTGTGTGTGATATTTTATTACACAGCTGACACACACTCATCCAGGTGAGCACATGAACTCTTCAGCTTCTTCTCTGATCATCAGTCATATCATCCTGCGAGTCACTGCGATGTTTTCCTTCTGAAAATCAAAATGTAATTTAATAAGTGCTCTACTTTGAAGAAATAACTAAGCCTAAGATACAGAATTTAAGTGAATGCAGTATATTTACATTTTCCATGACTCTAATATTATAATAATGACCATTCTTCTTGTCATTGTGAACGACTGTGCAATTAAGAAACGCACAGTGTGTCGATTTAGATTTTTATCTCTTAATGTTTTCCTGAAGTATTTTGAAAACGCCTGGTATGATGAAACACAACTCTCTAATTACGTATTTCATTTTTCAAATGTATTTACAAAGTTGGTTTCAAACATCCAGTTCAAAACAGTCTTAAATCGCTTAAAATCATGTCCGCGCCGATTTTATTTAAATGTCAATAAGAACGTTTTTTTTTTCTTTTTCATTTTTGTGGATGTATAAAGTCACCTTTGGCGATTAATGGGAGATTTTATTAAGTGACTTTTTAGCAGCAGCCTCATAAATCTAGCAGCCACAACAGCGCTTTCTGTAAATGATAATATTGCAAAACGTTTTGTAAAGGAAAAATTACAAATAAAAATAAAAATCAAGGGTTAGGGTTCGGTAAAGAAAAACATAAAAAAGTATGAAAAGCACAAATAAATTTTACCTGAATTCATACAGGGGCTCTAGCAGAGGAACAACTCGAAAATGATTCACTAACCACAAACAAAGTCATGTTTCATGTACAGCACACTATTTGCATTTCCGACCACTACTTTAAATATGTGTTTATCTTTCCTACAGTCAGTGTGACTTCAGACATTCGTTTTGGACCGCTGTACATGACATGCCTCTTGTTAGTTTTTTGATGATTTTGATCTTGATTGCATCTGATGTCGTTCTGTAGTCAAATGTTGACTTTTTTCCTGCATGTCCTGCAGTGACGCACGCTTTTGAGTACTGCGGTCAAGCCAGAAGCCAGTAATCATGCACTTACTGAGAGCAGTCAAAATGCATGTAAAGAAGCTGTCATACCGACGTTTCCTTTATAATTAGCTTATTTTAACTTTTGTTTTTTTCATTTTTATTTTGTAAATACATTATTTTTGTACAAACTATTATAAATAATTTATTAATGTTTATAAATGTTAATATTAATGTTTTTTATTCATTGTTTTTTTTAATTGTTTGTGTGTGTGTGTGTGTGTGTGTGTATATAACAACAAAATGCGTCCTAGCACTTCCACTGTGTCCCATATTCCAACACTCATAAAAAGTGTCCCTTTATAGGTTAGCTCATTCTTTCAATTGATATGTCAATATGTTAAACGTGATGCAAAAGTGCTTATGCATTTAGATGCTTGGGGTGAGTTTGCCTTTAATTTGATCCAAAACTACACAGTAAAAATATATGAAAATTAATACAGTATTAGTCAGGGTAACTGTGAACAGGAATCTATTGAACGAACGAGCAAACCTGTAAAGGAAAGATTTTTATGAGTGTTTGAATATAGGACATAATGTAAAAGTGCTTATGCACTTAGATGCTTGGGGTGAATTTGCCTTTAATTTTCTCCAAAACCATAAAGTAAAAATATTAAAATAATTAATACAGTATTAGTCAGTGTCAATGTGAACAGGAATCAATTGAAAGAACGAGGAAACCTCTAAAGGAAATATTTCTATGAGGGTTTGAAAATGGGACGTGATGTAAAAGTGCTTATGCACTCAGATGCTTGCTGTGAATTTGCCTTTAATTTTCTCCAAAACTGACTTGTAAATTAATACAGTGATAGTCAGGCTCACTCTGAACACATATCAATTGAAAGAATGAGCTAACCTATAAAGAAACACTTTTTATGAGTGTTTGAATATGCAGAAATAATCAAAGTGCAACAATGGAGTTTGATGTTTTGGGTGATTTTGCTTTTAGTTTTCTCGTAAACTATACAGTAAAATGCCTTGAAAATAAATACAGTGATGGTCAGGGTCACTCTGAATACATATGAATTAAAAGAATGAGCTAACCTATAAAGGAACACTTTTTATGAGTGTTGGAATATGGGACACAGTGGAAGTGCTAGGATACATTTGGTTATATACACACACATATATACATACATACATACATACATATATATATATATATATATATACACACACACACAAACTTTAAACACACAGTCTTTTGAGTGTCATGTTCAACATCAATAAAATATAGCTTTGTTGTAATTTGCATATGGATATGTTCCTAAATCAATATTCATTCAAACAGTCCAGGAACTTCCTTCCGTAAAAAACCCCGCAGGCTTAAGCAGATGATTCATTCAGATTTAGGCTACTACACAGATTCTGTGATAACGAGGTGTGTGTGTGAGATAAAGACTGTCATCTAGCGAAGAAGAATCTGAACTAACTCTCTCTCTCTCTCTCTCTCTCTCTCTCTCTCTCTCTTTCAGAGAGGCGATGCCGGACACGCTTCAGCAGCTGCGCTGCGCTAAACTCAGACGCAAATTCTCCGTCATCACGTCCGTCAAAAGGTGCACGAGAATCAGAGCCCGGTCTCAAGAAAATGCGAATCAATAGCACGATTTTATTTTTGTATTTTGCGTGCTATTTATACGCAGAAACTGACTGGCGTGCATACGATACGCACGTGTTTGACATGCATATAATACGCGGTTTGTTGGCGTGCATATGATACATATGATATATGTATATGTGGCTCAGTGGGAGAGCATTGCGTTAGCAGCGCAAAAGGTCGAAGGGAACACACATACTGGTAAAAAATGTGTAGTCTGAATGCACCGTAAGTCGCTTTGGATAAAAGCGTCTGATAAATGCATTAATTATTATTATTATTATTAATTATACGCCTTTTGGCATAGACCGACATATAACACGCACCTACCCCTAATCCTGGCCAACATAAAAAAGCAACTCATACAGGTTTGGAACGACATGAGGATGCAGTCTGAATGCACCGTAAGTCGCTTTGGATAAAAGCGTCTGATAAATGCATTAATTATTATTATTATTAATTATACGCCTTTTGGCATAGACCGACATATAACACGCACCTACCCCTAATCCTGGCCAACATAAAAAAGCAACTCATACAGGTTTGGAACGACATGAGGGTGAGTAAATGATGACAGAATTTTCATTTTTGGGTGAATTATCCCTTTAACTGTGTATATTGCTCATACTCGCAAGTTTGGTTTTTTCAAGCCGCCTTTTTGCACTTAAGTTACTGGAAATCTTGACGTTTCAAACACTGTTATTACTTCATTACTTATTTCAGGCTGTTAACCTGTCTTGTCATGTGAAGTACTGTTATGACATATTTATAGCTGTGTTTGTGGGGTTTTACAGAGAGTTATGAATTGTCCTTGTATGGAAAAGAGCTGTGTGACAAGTCCAGAACTCACTTGAACCAAAATTATCCATGATTTTACTATACTAACATTGTTTAATTATGGTATATGTCGTAAAACTGTGGTTATACAAATTAAATCGTCTGAGGGAGAATACATGACAGAGTTCTTTTAAACGTTTCATGTCATTTCTATTTCAATACAGACTAAACATGGAGAGTTTCACCGAGGAACTCGATGATTTCTTAAAGTGTCCGCAGAAACCGAACACGACCGAGCAGGAGCTAAACAGGTGCGTGTGTGTCTTCATCTCCATTTACAGTTTTTTTTTCAGCTGCTTTCACACATTTTCAAAACTTTGCTTTTTATTTATTTTTTTAACTTTACACACAAATCCAAGAATTGCTCACAAAATGCAAAACGCCTCGCGTCTCTTGCAAAATGTAGCACTGCGTTCAAAAGCAAACACCTTTGCCATAATATTAATTCCTGTTTGGATTTGTGTGTGTTACGTAGAGAATTGTGTTTTGCAAAAAAGTGTTTTATGAAAATTATTTCTAAATAATTGTCTTTTAGTAGATTCATTCATTGCTCACATCCGTCATTGTAGTTCAGAGTGTCTCAAAGTTCAACACGAGTCATTTTATAATGTTTAATGTCATTATTATAGCCAAGGTTTATTGAGAGCTGAATGCTTGTGAAATGAGTCCTCTGTGTTTTTGGCAGAATGAAGCTGCAGTTATGCTGTAACGCCACAGGATCAATATTCCTCACCAAACGCAACACAGCCGTCAATCAGACCATCCCGTATGAGACGAGCACTAAAAGCACATACACAATGAATGCAGCCATTCACAACATGCTGCCTGAGGTGCGTGTGTGTGTGTTAAAATGTAGCTTTTTTGTCTTTGTTTGAATACTTCTATTAAGCAAGGATGTGTTAAATTGATAAAAAAGTGACAGTAGAGACTGATACTGTTAGAAAAGATTACATTCTGTTTTGAATAAATGCTGATCCTTGGAAAAGTATCACAGCTTCCCAAAATATATTAACTGTTTCCAACATTGATATTAAATCAGCATATTATAGTGATTTCTGAAGATCATGTGACACTGAAGACTGGAGTAATGATGCTGAAAATACAGCTGCTCATCACAAGAATCAGTTATATAAGTGTATTAAAAAACATTACAAATCTTACTGATCCCAAACTTTTGAATGACAGTATATATATATATATATATATAGAGTGTATATATAGTAGTTTGGTCTCGTTCTGTATCGTGTATCTTGTCAGTGTCTGCGCTTGCTTGGCCATTTGTTGTGGAGAAAATAAGGAAAGTGTGTTCAAGCGCCAGCAGAAAACAGTGTAGAGAAATAGTCTTCGAGAGAAGCAGTCTTTATCAGCGGAAGTTAAAAGCAGCTCGTAAGTGTATTTACTCGACTCATCGTTTCGCTTCTGTTTCAGTTTTTATAACCATTTCTTACTATGTGTCAGTAAGTTGTTGTTTTTTAGCACGTGTGTTTGGCAGTGTTATTTTTTAGGATTACTGATAAACTACTGTCGTTTGATTTGTATTATTTGTATTTGTTATTTATTTAAATTTTAGTTACATTATGTCTGAATTTATTATGTCTGTATAGGGCTTTTATTACGTTTTTCGTTTGATTTCATTTGAGTTATTTTAATACTTCTACACACTAAATGAAAATGAAATAATATATATATTGAATTTATAAATGTGTCGAGCATGTGCATGTTTACGGATTCTGGCCCTTTGAGACTGACCTGCAGGACAATCCCGTTCCGTATCATTACTACGACGCGTTGAGTCCGCACCGTTACATGCACCAAATGCCGGAGGAGTTTGTGCGGCTTCTGCAGCTCCACAGCCAGGGGGCGCTGACACTGCACCTGCGGCCCTGCTCCTCAAACACGTGCTTATAAAGTGTGCTGCTTGTGTCCGAAACCAAAGTGGACATTGAGTGCACTCCAGTAATGCACGGCAATATGTGAACAACTGGCTAGAAAATACCATGTGTGGGTCGCGCTGCGTATCGGCAGAAAATGGTGTTCACTGCTTCTGCCGAACTCAGTGTACGAATTTACTCGCTCAGGGACACGCTTAACTTGAAAAACGCTTAACGTGGTTTAATGCTTAAAAATGTGTATTTAAGGAACAAATTCAGTAAACACACTATTAACCCATTTGATTCAAAATTTTTCTCAGACATGAAAATATCAAAATGATGTGTTATTAACCCCTTGAAACAATCAATAATAATTTGCACTAAACATGTAAAACTGCACATATTTAATTGAGACCCTTTATTTTTTCCATATTTGCAGAAAATGCACTAAAACACTACTATGCCCTGTTTAATGGATATAAGCTGAAGGCTTTAACTTCCTCTTTGGATATTGTTCCCACACATTTTTTTTTTAATATATCTTTGACTGTTTTGGGACATGGATTTTAGAAATTGTAAATAAGAGTTCTTACTGGGTCTCTTCCAACCTTTTGTGAACATGCTTTGGTGAGGCCGGTCTTGAAAAAACCCAATCTGGACACAACTGGCTTATCTAATTTTAGACCTATCTCTAATGTACCGTTTATAGCAAAAGATTTTAGAGAAATCAGTATTATTGCAATTACAAAAATTTCTGGACACAAGCAGTATTTTTGAGACATTTCAGTCTGGTTTTAAGAAAGACCATAGTACTGAATCTGCCCTTTTAAGAGTACTAAATGACATTCTGTTATCGGTCAATTCAGTTATTCTAGTCCTATAGACCAATTTAGAGTAGACGTCACAGTTACGTCACTTGCAGCTGCGCGCGCACAGTGGTGGCAGAAAACACTGGGAGCAAGTGGAGGTAAATGGGTACAATCCATGGAATAAAAGAAAAAATATATTTTTGTGCCTTTTGATGTCAAAAGTCATTTTTATAGAATACTGTCGTCAAAGACGCCATTTGAAGCTAAACGCATCAGACTATGAATGAAAACTGTTATGGTTACTCTACTTTTAAAGCATAAATTGGATTTAAACAATAGGTCTACATAATATTCACATATGCTGTTCATAGGGGACGTATTGTATTAGCCCTACAGTTACAGCACAGAATACTATTTAAACCTTACTGTTAACATTTTTACATAACATTTATTTTATCTCACAATTCTGACTTTTGTTTCTTGCAAATGCAAGTTTATATCTCCTAATTCGGACTTTATAACTCGACTAAACTCAAAAATAGTGAGTTTGTCAAATCTGAGGGAAAAAAGCCAGAAGAGCCGAAGGGAAAAGAGAGAATGACGAGCTGTTTTTCCTTATTAGAACTGTGAGATATAATCTCGGAATTGCGAGAATAAAGTCAGAATTTTGAAATATAAAATCAAATTTACCTTTTTTTATTCTTTTATTCCATGGCCCCATAGACTGCCAGATAGGCTCCGCCCACAAAAACGCCATCCCTGTTTCGGATCTGTAAGACTATCGCACTCTCAAACGTCAATTTCGTTGAATAACAGTGCTTATCGCTGGGTGACAAGCTCTTGTAATATGCGGAGAACATTTTGAAAATGACATCTAATCAATATAATTTATAATCTTTTTAAACATAACTATTTTGTTCCCTATCAGTGAAATTCTCTAGCCGTAAAGGCTATCTCTCCCGGGTTTTCTGCAACCATGATGCGCGCGCATCCTGAATGTTTACAAACCGATAATTGGTCTATTAGATCTGAGTGCTGCATTTGATACAGTTGACCACACCATTCTTATTTCACGTCTTGAACAGTGTGTGGGCATCCGAGGCCATGTCCTAAGCTGGTTTAAATCCTTTCTGTATGACAGAACCTTTTCAGTAGGCATTGGTAATATTGTTTCTTCAGTTGCTCCTTTGACTTGTGGTGTTCCCCAAGGGTCCATTCTCACCCCAACCCTGTTTTGTATATGCTCCCACTAGGAAATATCCGTAGGAAGCACGGAGTGTCATTTCATGAATAAGGCTAATGTAAACCATAATTACCATAATATACCATAATGTAAACCATAATAGAAAAATTTGGGAGTCCTTTTAGATTCCTCCCTAAAATTTGCTAAACATATTAACACGGTAGTGAAGTCAAGTTTTTTTCAGTTAAAACTTCTCTCTAGAGTCAAGTCTTGGTTATCGTTTAAAGATCTTGAGAGAGTTACACATGCCCTTGTCTTGTCGCGTCTGGACTATCGTAATTCTTTATATGTTGGTCTACCCCAGTCTTCTGTATCACGACTCCTGATGGTTCAAAATGCTGCAGCCAGGTTTTTAACTGGGGCTCGCAAGCGAGAGCATATTACTCCGATCTTAAAGACTTTAAACTGGCTCCTAGTGTGTTATAAAATTGATTTCAAGATACTGGTATTTGTTTTTAAATCCCTAAATCATCTGGCACCCTCTTATCTGACTTATTAAAAGAAAAAAAGCCAATAAAATGTCTGAGATCTACAAAAAACTACTCTTTGTCTCAGCCTAGATCCCGATTAAAGGCAAGAGGTGATCGTGCATTTGCAATAGTTGGGCCGAAGCTATGGAATAACCTTCCTTTATCTGTGAAAACTTCTAATTCTGTTCATGAGTTTAAAACTAAATTGAAATCTTGTTTTCTTACTTTGGCTTTTTAAACTTTGTATCTTTTTTTTCTTCTTCTTATTGGCATTATCTTTTATCGTTGTTTTCTGTATATACAGCACTATGGTCAACTGCTGTTGTGTTTATTGGTGCTTAATAAATACATAAATGAATGAAACACCAGTCCGTAACATTTTTAGAGCTTTATAAATGAAACCCTTCTTTATGATTAAATGGGTTAATAAAGCATGTAATGTAGAGACAAGCACATATGAGCCATAACACGAACGCAACACATTTAATTACGCGTTAGGAAAATGCTTAACGTGGCTTTATGCTTTAAGACGGTGACCAAACTCAGTAAACACATTATTAATAAAGCATATAATGTGCAGATAAATCCAGAATAAGAACGCAACGTGTTTAATTATGCGTTAAGCATTTTCCTCCCAAGGCGCGTGCTTTAGTTTCCTCTCATAGACAATTGTAAGGAAAACGCTTAACGTGAAACTCAATAAACATTATTAATAAATCATATCATACATTTAGAGTGGCCTTTTATTGTGGCCAGCCTAAGGCACACCTGTGCAATAATCATGCTGTCTAATCAGCATCTTGATATGCCACACCTGTGAGGTGGATGGATTATCTCGGCAAAGGAGAAGTGCTCACTAACACAGATTTAGACAGATTTGTGAACAATATTTGAGAGAAATAGGCCTTTTGTGTACATAGAAAAAGTCTTAGATCTTTGAGTTCAGCTCATGAAAAATGGGGGCAAAAACAAAAGTGTTGCATTTATAATTTTGTTCAGTGTATGTACAGACAAACTTGAGTTTGGTCTTTTGAAAACACTGTTTTACTGCATTAGGCCACGCTAAGCCTTTTCCCTTTAACAGTTTTCTATGGGAGGAAAACATTTAACGCGTTTGTATTGAGTCCGTATTATGGCTCATATCTGCTTGTCTGTACATAGTATAATTTATTAACAATGTTTATTGAGTTTGGTCTTTTAAAAACACTGTTTTAAGACACGTTAAGCATTTTTCACGTTAAACGTTTTAGAATTTCCCCTCACTGGTTTCATTCACTTAGTGGACTAATGTATTAAATAAGGGTAGGCCTATATTTAGTGATTACAATTTGTGATTTTAGAAATCATTCATGAGTGCACAGACCGTAATAAATTGATTAAAATCTATTGATTCGCAATTCAGACCTTGGTTAGACGGAGCGTAACGTGGACGAAAAC